ATGGTAATCCAAAAGCACGGCAGAACATTGGTATGTTGGACCGACCACTTCCGATGAGACGAAAACTTTCGAAAAAAATTTGAAAAAAGTGTGTACGATGAGATACAAAGTGAAGTAACTGCAAAAAATCCCCACAACAGCGAGGTGAAGAATGTTTTCGCAGTATGCCACTTCGGTAGGCAGAAATTTTATTTAGCTAGAATTTGAAATGCTGTCTTCTATCTTCTATCTACTTCTGGTCTCTATCACCTTTCGATTCACTATTAGGAATCTTCCTCAATCCGTACATCCCTTTTCGTCTCGAGCTTTTTATTCAGCGAGATGACCTGCCATTTGATTGCTGGTGATGGTTTTAAGATGCTCTGCAATACTGCTCGACGTGAGCAATTTCTCCCTAAACACTATGTCTATGTCGGGATGTACTACTTCCTGGAATGACTGCGTATTACAAGCAGTTTTGAGGTTCGCAGCAGATGTTGAACGTGGAGTAGTGCCTTTACTCCTAGTCTATGAAATTTTTTATTTACTATCGGGAAACCCTCCTCAAATTTTAGGTCCCTTTTCGTTTCACGTTTTCTGTTTGGAGGGACGACCCACAGTTTTATCGTCGTTGCTGGTTTTGAGATGACAGGCACTTTTTTGACCCGTATCATTTCGTCTCAGATACTTCATCAATATCACTGGACCACTGTATAACAACTGAACGATGATCATCCGAATGATACTGAAATCTTCTTGCTCTTAAATAAATATTTCTTACTGACTTGAGATTCGGGACAGAAAGCTGAAGGCTTCACTCTCTGGTTCTTCCTAGCAAGCTAATATTCGGCAAGCATTGTACCTCAAAAAGTCGTGCGCTCATCCATATCATTTCGGGAACATTGCAATCCATCTGTCTCTTTTAATTTTTGAGCTCTATAGTTTCGTGTTTTCTGTTTCTTGTTTCTTCGTGCTAATTTGTTTTCTTGTTTCAGAGTTTAAAATTCCGTGAAATCCCAAATTCTGAATGGCATATCCCGCAGAGAAGGAAGAAAAATGTCCACTGTTCGCCTTGGGTGGAGGTGGTGCTAAAGGATCAGGATGCAAAACCGAAATTACTGTAGTAAGAAATTTCTTTCTCACCAGCAAAAATTGGCTCACTCAATCCCGAACTCTATCCTCCACCAAACACCTCATCTCCATTCGACAGCACCAGTTTCGCACAACGAGTCATTTGAATGCCCCCCTCCCCAAGGCGAACAACGCCGGAAATTGCGTTGGGCCTATTGGGACAATTGATCAACGTTATAGCAGAAGCATACAGACCAAGTAAGAATTTGTGCAGTCCAATATACTATCCTCCATAAGGCAAAGAAGAACAGCATCAGGAACGTAGCCTCCAGGTTGTTCGCAGTAACTGGATTCTAAACCTGTTGTATTCAACGCCCGATCATGCTCAACTTCACACCTGTTGTAGAACGTCTGAAAAAGTAAACCAGGCTTTAGCAGTTACCAAAACCATGTCGTTCAGTATAAAATCAATAAGTCAAAACATGAAAAGACTTACAATCGCAACATCCAGCGGAAGTACGAAAATAATTATAAAGGAGAAGTACCAACCAATGAACGTTGACAGTGTGACGATAAATTGGTGACGACGCCAGTCAGCATACTGAAAAATGTATTTACTAGTTAGGATGCTGGAATATAGAAATATGCACATTGTTCACTCAGTACAAGAACAAGAATATGTGGATCATCGCGGAGGGGAAGGGACGGCAGCAGACTGTATAGGACTGCTTCTTGAACTTCCCCTGTTCTCCAAAAGATCGTCAAGTCCCACAAGAAACAAGCAGGGTGTAATTTTCAGACATAGTATGGATAGCCAACTGCAGTCTGGTTCGCTGCGGATGGTGAGGCGTGTTCAGGCGGCCGCGTTTGGCAAAACACCAACCGGTTTCTTTTTTTGGCAAGCGACAGCACTAAATCATATCTGTTTACGGCCAATCCGCTGACACAACGGTATGGCACGGATTTGGTGGCGTGCTAAACGCTGCGCGGACATACCCCATCATCCGCAGCGAACAAGACTCAGGCAGGTAATACGGTAATTTGTAGATCTGCATAGCGGAGAGCGGCAAAAGTAGGTACAGAAACAGATGTAGAAAGATAAAACCAGTTAGAAACCACATTTTCCACACGACATCGACAATAATGCAAGAATGTTTGGCATCGGTTTCACCCATTATTATCCATTTTTCGGAATCAAACCGGGTTTCGCCGACATTACCCCAGATTTGGAAAAAAAACAGCCCTCAGGGTTAGTTTAACTCGTGAACATGGATACCACACTCGCTTGTTTTTAGCGCGGGGCTTGGCATGCCAAAATTTGGTCGTCGATACAGTTGTGCTCAAAATAGTCAAACTATCTTGGAGTTTAATAATCACAACGCAACTTGTCGGGTTAAAAAGCTCTAGCTAATTTGCCTCAAACTGAAAGACAAAACCTGGACTGCTGTTGAGAATACACTAAAGAGTAGTTAGTTCTCCAACAATCTCTAACAGGGTCAAAGCCCCTCAAAAAAATCACATGAACGCAAACCTTATTCAAAAGTAGTGCTGTCAGGATGAACACTGCAACCAATTCTACAACAAGTGGACCAGCGCCCATATCTATACTAGGAAGAAGCTGTCTTAGTATCGCATCTGCAGGGCAGACATCGGCACTCCTGCGACGAAGAGCTGGAAAAGTTTGACGTTCGGACTCTCCCCCACATTTAGGACTCACTTTCAATCGATATGAGAAAAACGAACGAGATTTATCATCTGAATAGAGCTAATCGCTGTAAAGATGGACATACAAACGCCATCAATTTCATCATAAGAACTAACATCTGCCATCAAAGTGAATAATGAGAGGAAATATTTGGGCTTTCAAAAGCTGTGTAAACAAGAAACAGTAGAATAGAAGACAGAATTTATTCTCCCAACGTCGGCTACAATCCATACATACTATTTAATCCTATTGCTTGAGGGCAGCGAGGCGAGCGGCTTCAGCGGCTTTTTTTGCTTCTTTGGCAGCTAAGTAATCAGCCTTCTCCTTTTGCACGTCTTCGATCATTTTACTGAGGGATTACCTTCCAAAAGCTGTTGCACAGACGAGTCAACCTGAAAGGTAAATAGTAAACAGAATTATATAAGAAGCTCGTACGGTGCAATAACACACAAATCCTACCTTCGGGGTTTCAAAGCTGGTGGGAAGTTTGCCAACAACATCAGAATTAGCTAGCTGGAACTTGGCAGCAAGTCGGTTCAGCTCGTCCTAAATTCGCAATAAATACCAGTATTCTGCAAATCACTTGGTAAATGTTTAAAGACTGTTTAGAAACAAATTCTCAGAACAAATGTTGAAAACTCTCCGCTTCCACTCTTTTCAAAATTTTACTAAAATGTATCCTTGGAAAGCGAACCGGATGGGAATTCAGGCCTTGGTGCGAATACCATTCATGCTTGGTAGCGACCCAAGTTGCGTAAAGAGCTCAATTCGAGTGCGGGCTGTATAGCGATGGTGTTCTCATTCAAAATGACTGGGAGATGGCTGTTAGGAGCTAAAATCTCATTTGGACACCTTTTCAGCACCCAAGGAAGCGCCTTATCGAGCTTCGGATAGTTGAGCAGTAAAGTGCAAGTGCTGCCAAATAGTCAAATAAGTGGCCAAAAGAAATCAAGACCTTTGAAACAGTGAAATTCACGTCACTATGTGGACCAAATTGATCTGTTTACTTCAGCAATGCTTCGAATTGCACACATTTCCTTTTACGCTGAGAGAGGAAGATGATTTTCAAGGCCTCAGGATATCTGCCAACCGTGAACCTTCCCCCTCCTTCCTTTTCCTTCCTCTTTACTTCTTTTCTTTCCTTCTGTTGTTCTTCTTTCTTAATTTTCCCTCCTTCAAAGGCTCGGCTGGAAGATGCAGTGAGAAAATACTTGTCTACCTTATGAACATCTGTTGACAGAAGCCCTGTAACCCATTTTTCACAGACCCTGACCATCATTACCACTGGCACTTAGTGGAAGATGTTATACTGAAGCAGTAAATACCATTTTTTTGTGCATCATAAATGAAAATAAAAATTCGAACATTGTATAGTCTCAATTAGGATGGAAGTGACCGCGAGCTGACCACGGAAGCCAACACATACTTTTTGACAGCTTCAAATTTCAATTATCTCTCAGTCACTGTAAGCGCTATGATGAATGAGGGTGGCAGGAACGAAACTAGTGCAGAGACGTAGAAATAGAAAACATTATGACGTAGAGATAGGAAACATTATGACGAAGTATGCGACTGGATGTGAAGAAGCCAGGTTTGGAAAATGCACTGATAAAAAGGACGGTAACTGAACATTGAGTGAACATCCATTCCGAAAGAGCCCAGAAGCATAATTTGGGAAACCTTTTGAGATCTCTCTGAACAAATTCAATGCTATTTCCAAGTTATTCAACGTTTCAACCCCACAAGTAAGCCAGGCCAAACAAATCCTCTAAATGCAGAGCTCATAGTTGTTGATACTTTCACAAAAACTTCTGAAACAATTACAGCACTAGCCGAATGAGGGACCCCACACTTGGTTAATGCTTTCACAGGTTCCCATCCACGTTAGAAGTAGGCCTTGGCATCAAGCTCAGCCAGTGGCGGAAATTCAGTGTGCTGGATAGCATGATCAGGAGGGTCGCTACCCTCCCCAATATCGACCCGTAAGACATCAACAATTAAGCCTGGACTGTATAATAATATTGGCTTAATATAGTCAATGTATTTTACTAGCGCGCCTATGAGTGCACCAAATAAATACATAAGTAGAGAAACAAATAAATAAATAATGAGCTCGACAACCGTCAAAGCTACGGTTTTTTCCAGATACCGAATCAACAACTTCAGAAGGAGGCCAGGTTCTTAATATTTTAATAACAGCACTTTGAAAACTAAAGGCTTCACCACAAATATACAGAAATTAACTGGCAAAGAAACTAACGGTGAGGGCTTTCTTAACAGCAGGATCCGAGCTGGAAAGGTCTCCACCTTTCTGAGCATACTCACGAATCTTCTTTATGAAAGCCTGCTGTACGAGGTCCTGCTTGTTGACCACAGAGGTTGAGAGAGAGCGAACCGATTGCAACGCACGGAACATCTCGTTGCACCTCTACAAAGATTGGTCATGATAGCAACACCAACAATTCTACGGTCGTGCGGTCTCTCAATAACCGAAAAAGAAGCCTTCTAAATTTCACAAATAGAAACTCTAATATTCGCTATATACCGTAATATACGCTAATATAGTGTTTTTCTACCAATAAACGATACTATAATGTCCGAGGACCGCGCGTTTCCTATCAAAATCTGAAGCTCGTCCATTTAGATGTCGCGTGCGATGTCCGCGCACGATGATCAGAGTCCGCGATTGCAGACCTCCTGCAATGGCTTTCGGAACTTGCTGCAACGGCCCAGAGGTATTTCTTCATTGCATATTCTAGCCGAGAACTTGAAAGGGACGAAATCAAGGAAGGAAAGAAGAAATGGGGAAGAAAAAGAAGAGAAGCAAGACTCCGCGATTGACAGACATCCTGAGGCAGTCCTCCTCTGTTAATCTCGCACCGTACGACAGAATGCTGGTTTCAAGAGCTCACCGGGAGCGGAACTCTTAGATTTGTGGCTATTAATATTACAATATTTACCACACCTCTGATTTCTGTTTCGAGTACACGGCATGAATTTCGTTCGAGTACACGGTACGATTCCTTCACCGTACATGGCGCAGACGTCGAATAAAATGCATAGGCGGGTTAAGCACTCATCGCAGTCAAGCTGTTCCACGATTACTCGAAACGTCTCTGGTCTGACTACACGAGAGCTGAAGAACGAAGGAAAGATAACAAAGAGTGGATTTGGCTGTATCACTGTAGCTGCTTTTTTTTTCTTGAATAATCTCACATGGACCGAGTCCTCTCTAAATCCACCGCTGCGTGCCCTGAGGGCGTTTGCCGACACCAATCGTCTGCGCTCTTCTAGGGTTGAACTTGTGTTCCGACCTAATGAGTAACTGTGGAAATAACCATCCCTATTATACGCCCTGAGGGTATCAGCATTGGAGCAATCAAAACCCTTGAGGTACTAGGGTTATCCAGAAGGGTACATAACTGTGATGATACTCTACCCCGTGAACTGGCGGCTCCCATTTTGCCCGCAGTCTCCCTAGATCTCTTAATGGACTTGACCAGAGGCACAGAAACAAACGTGTTTTATGTTAGTTGAAGCTTTGTGATGTCGGCGTACATTGGAATGGCGCTGCAAAGCTACAGATATGACCTGTAATCTAATTAGCAGTTTCCCATTCTTGTGGACGGTCGGAAAGGGGGTCAGACGGGATCCTAACACGGTACTGTAAGAGGAAGTGGAGGAACTTTACTCAAGGACTATCACACCGTGTTCTCAGCTACACTCACAACTCTTTGTAATTAAGGCATGCGAGCAAACTGATGTACTCCTCGATGACCGCAAATCTTTGTGGACAGATGATAATTGGCAATAGTGCTCCGTTAAGTTCAAACATCATCTTCGAGAGCAGTAGAGAAAGAATCTTCCAAAAATTTATTCAATAAAGCAAATATCAACAGAAAGAGTCGACTAGAAAACGTATGCTCTTTATAAGTAATTTGCAGTTAAAGTAGACATACAATAAGTACAACGTATTACGCAAGTGCTCAAGAAAAGTACATGACAAACTGACCGGCAAAGAATCTGCGGAATGGGACTCTTTGTCATTCTTCATATTTCGCAATTGCAAGCACCGTTTTAAGAAGACCTTCAGCGGCACACAAGTAAACAGCTGTGGTTCATTGAAAATAACAAGATCACTACTATCAAACTGGACAAACCCTGGCGACACATCTAACAAACTTGCTGTTTTTTTCGGAAAAAAGCACTACTGAACTATTACTGTCCCAAAACCAGTTTTTTTTTGCTGAAATTTGCCCATAAAGATGTGTGTTTATCACGGATATCGCACTAAATTTTTTGAGCTGGCACATATTACCGCGTTTCTCAGCGAAATTCTCGTCTTTTAACGCATACGGGACTAGTTTCAGCTGCCCTTATAACGAAGCATAAATTCGTTTTATGTTGGCAGAATTTGGCGGCATTTCCGTGCCGCCACCTTCTTCACCAAAATCGGTGTAATCTTGCGTGCTGGGGTTACTCGTGCTTGGATCACGAATATGACATTGGTTTGGCACGAAATCTCTATACTCTATACGCCCGCGTCACAGGCGGCAGCAAATGCTTCTTTTGATCTCGGCGCGCTAGCGCAATTCCTGGATGTTCCGTCCCAAGCGGTGTGCTAGAGCAGTAAAGAACATGGCCAGACGAGACAGTACCCTTTCCTGGTTGCCCGCGATAGCGATATCCTTCTCCTTTGCTAGTACTGCAGTCTGAGCAGAGGACGAGGATCAACTATCTCAGGGAAGGGAGCAGACGAGTGCATCACATGTACCACTTTTCCTCGATAAAGACCAGCTTTACGCTCGAAATAATTCGTGGATGTCCAATTTCTTTCCACTTCATGACAGCGCTGTGATTGCATGTGGCAAAGTTAAAGCCCAACAACATTGGGTTCTGGGTCGCGAATTTATCCAGTGAAAGGCAACAAATTTGAAATCGAAACAACATCGAAGCACTATTCTTCTCATCGTAGTCGCCGCATTTCCGAAACAGGGGAATCAAGAAACTGTCCGAAAGATGGGCACCTGTCCACACTATTATGGTGACTAGAAGCATTGTTCAACGAACTAAATTTAACTTGAAGGTTTGCAAGAGGTGTCGCAAGACATTTCGTCCAGCCTTATAACCATATGAAATAATCAGTAATCGTGATCATATGAACAACATAACCATTGAGTAAAAGGTGAATCCTCGAAAACAGGGCTCTGATTAACCCTCAACAGTATTCTGGCTACTCAAGAATCCCACCAACAAAAGCAATACGTCTCAAACACAGCTGCAGATAAAACATTCTTCAATTTTAACATATCACTAGCGGATTTTTCTATTTCAAAGGGAGTGTGCATTTACAACCCCAATCGGCAATTCACATAAAATTCGCTTACAGTCAAAAAAATACTCGTATAACTAACACAGTGTGAATAAACTCTACTTCAATATCTTTTCGATGGACTGTTGTCAAAGCAGGACAACAATATTTCGGGAATCACATTCACTCCCGAGTTTAGCCACGCGCTGCTGTATACACAAGCCTTCTTGCTCATTACATTTAAATGGAGGGTTGGATGCGGTCAGCACGCCGCAGGAGATTTCGAACTAGGTCAAATGAAAACTCGTAAGTATTAAATTACCTTATGCAGCATTTACGCCTTTCGGGCGGGTTTCGTCGTCCACCAGTTGGTAATTCCTACGACCGTCCGCGCTGTAACATCGGCAGGCGATCAATTCTTTGACGAATCTTTTGGGCAAGCAGCAAGATCAATGGCTGAACGAAAAAGCAGTTTTCATATGAATAGTTCAACGTGGCAATCAATCTCATGGTCACTTATCAGATTTCCAGATCTCCCAACATGGTAGCCGAAAGCTCCAGGATATGATTAAAGTTCGGCAGGGATCAATTGCGACTGTGTCATGAACTCGACTCAGGGCTGAACTACACTCCCCGTAATGTAACCCACGCCAGCTGATGAATGCTGAGCAGGTGACCTTTACTATAATATTTACAATTGGTAACGTCGCGATCAGTCGCATTGGTATCAGGAGGGACGGACAGCAGTGTTTACTGTTTTCCTCCTGAACCAACCAATTGCCCTTTACCAGTACAGCTAGGCAGCCCAAGGGGGCTCATGCCGCCCCACTCACATAGCATTGTTTGTGGTGCTAAAAATTACCAAATTACAACTAATCACCGCTCACCTTTACACAGCCTCTCAAACGCATTTTCGATACCAACGTTTTCTTTAGCGGACGTTTCTTCATACATCGCACCTGCGGAGGAAGCATATCTGAAAAAAGAGTTTAGAGAGCACAAACATATCGAGCCAGGACGTAGAACATGAATAGCAATCCCACAGTGCAAGGTTTTGGTATATAAGGTACAATTTTCAAATAAGAAGTTCTGTATTGAAAAGAGATTGTAAAGTGTGCAAAGCGTTTTTCTCCAAAACAAACTTAAAAAAGGAGACAGGCTTTTCATCATCATGATGCCAGAAAGGTTGGTTAGGGGCTAACAGAAGGATTAGACTGCGGGCATTTCGTATAAGCGACTGCAGAAACCTCACATAGCCCTGAGTCATTGAACCAAGTGCAAACCTTGTATGCAATGAAAAACCAAATGTCATATATACATTGAAAAATAGTGGCCCATTTCGCCTCTTCCTCAGGCGAATCAGGACACGTCGTACGCTGGAGATCCTCAGTAACGGAAATGGTAGTTGGTACTGTAGTGAGTAGTTCGCACTTCTCTTTGCGGAAATGTTTTCGCTTTTTGATTATTCTCGATCCTTCACGTACGCGGTATTTACATCCTACCCCTCCCCCCACTCCAAAAAAGGATGGTAGAGAGTTGGTTCAATTCAGGAAAGTGGTAGGTAATATAAGGAAAGGGTCGTACATCGCAAAATCTCCTCAACGGCAGGGACGTGCCCTGACGGCAATATCGTAACGACGCAAAGCGACAGGGATGACTGGGAGTCTTACATGGGGAGGTGCTTTATATAAAAACAGTCACTCACTCTTGCGCCTCCTCTATGGTGACAGTTCTGTTCCTGGCCAGATCAAACTTATTTCCGACGATCATCAATACGACAGAATCTCCTAGAGCTCTTTGCAACTCCTTGAGCCACACTTTTGCCTGAATTACACGGCATGCTCGATATGAAAAGTGGAATATACTCTTGTATAAAGAATGGAGGAATGGTAGAGGAAGAACTGTTCAACTCCACTTGTGAAAAAAAGAGTTGATCGGTTCTTTCTCTATCTTCCCTTTACAGTTAAAGACGCAATGAACAACACAAACAAACCCGTTCGAAGGAACGCTGATCAGTGATATCGAAAATAAGTAGCGCTCCTTGGCTGCCTCTGCCACATGAAGAGAGATGGTGAGTGTGTTGACTTCAGAATAATACGCTCATAGACACATACCTGTAGTAAATCGGTCCCAACGCATGATATTTTTCCTGACCCGCTGTGTCCCAAATATTCAGTGTAATGTGACAACCATCGAGTTCAAGCTGCTTTGTTTGA